AAGAAGACTTGGTCTTAAAAATGGTTAAGGAGAAGAAGATTTGTCATGCAATGAAATAAGTTCCTAATCTCCTATCTGTTCACCAATAATCTTAATTATTTTACCTAGTGAAAAGACATCACTGGCTTTATTAACTGATTTGTTTACCATTGGAAACTTCTGGTGCTATATGAGTATAAGTTGTTTTATATTTTTTAATTTGTGTATTCCTACATGACTTGACAAACTTTCCCAAACTTTACTAAATAACCTTTTTGGCTACAAACCGGAACAGTATTTGACATTAAATCGCAATACAAGTATCCCTAAAGTCTTGTGAATGTCATGCAGAGCATCGCCTATGTATATCATCATTTATTTCTGCTCATAAAATGCAGCATCAGATAATAACCTGTACTCTGTCATTTATTGTATTCCATGTCCGACAATTAGACTCTATTACAATGGAATATGTTTTAATCTCTGTTTCGATCCCGTGTAAATGAGGCACACAATCAAGCGAATGTGGTTCCTTGTAAAGTTGTTCCTTACTAAGGCATATGGTAGATAACCTTCAAATGATATTCTCCATATGCGCCTTCTCCTGCATTTGGGGATTCTATTTGGAGGTCCGCCAATTTGCATGCATGGATGAACACGTAAGAATAAATAGTTAGATATGTAATCACATTTGCTTTAATATCAACCTGCAAATAACAATGTTCAAGTGTTAGCTGGGTATGTCTTTCAGAGACATTAGCATGTGATCGGGCTCGAAGCAATACAATTTGGGGAGCCACAGAATAATACATGGGCTTGCTAGATGTTAATTATGGTTAACACATGAAAAAATACAATGTTCCTAATGCTCTTTTTATTTTATTCTGTCTAATTGAAGGCAATTGTGCTTTCAAGAGAGAGCTTAAGAGTGAATGTCAGTAAAAATCGAACATATGAGACATTTCGCGGCCACGACTGAAAAATCGATTTTGCTCAAATTTTGCCCAGATATACCTTATTATATCGGAAAATGCACCATATATTTTTTTAGGTCA